ATTGCCATGCATTGTGTTTTGTGAATTGGAATAGATGATTGGGTGACTAGGTAGCCATGTGAGTTTTGAGCCAATCATTTTCTTCTTGTGTGCTTTGATCCCTCTTACCATGGCGAGTAACATCAAAGTTGTCACTAGTGAATATGACGGAGGCAAAGGATTAGTCCACGCCCAAATGTTGATTGTCTCGAAATGTTTTATCCACTAGTCAACCCCATTGAGCGTTGTGACTTTGGGGGTCGTTCTCACGTTAGGAGCTTTTCGATTGTGAGCTTAATGGTGTTTGGTAGAACGACCCCCCATCCTTTCTTCGTGTCTATACGTGAGTCGTCCTTGTGTCCCAGAGATCTTGGTTTTTAGTTCCATTGAGGTTCTACATAGGAGGATTTTGTGCGGTTCTTGCTAGGAATGAAAGAGAAAAGATTAGTGTTATAGTAAGTTCTTAAAAGAGAGAATTGGTTGTTAAATGTAATGTGGTAAGTGTTTTAGGAGGGGTTTCTTGGCACAAAGATCAAAGTGTATGCTCTAGGAGGGGTTTCTTGGCACACAATCCATTGAAACAACCACATTGTTGCTGAACTCCGTCACTACCATGTTCGAAATTTGATAGCAAGAGTAGACCGAAGAAGTGCGCTTGAATGTAGTTCATGATGGGCGATAGTTTGGAAGGGAGAAGTAAGGTTTTTGGCCGATGCTAGTGGCCATTGTTTGTAGGGAAGGTTCTTAGTTGAAACCATAGAACCTTCGGGTTTAGAGTGAAGATATAGGACCACAGGTTGTGTTTTCCACCACCCAAAATGCCTTTTCCCCATGTCCAAGACAATTGCAGTCATTTGAACCTGTGTCTAAGACCTTTGGACAAGCTAGTGATGACAACCGTCCCGTGAACTCTAGCATTTAGAGGTTGCCGCAGTGGTGAAGAGACGATAGGTCCGAGTGTTGATGATTGTGCACATTCTTTGCACCAAAAAGTCCCAACCCCATTGGTCAAGAGAGGGAGTGATTCATTCCTGTTTTGCATGTCATATCATACCCCGATGAGGACCTTTGTTGCCCATTCATTTGTTCCTTGGACTTGAATGTTATGCATGGTTAGTTGTGGTTGATAAGTGATCTTGTTGAGACTTTCATTGATTCATGAACAAGGTGAGAACTTTTCATTTTCCCGTTTTTGGTGACCTCGAATGTCGTTTGTGGTGGATGCCGATATTGCTTGCAGTGGTCCATGTGTTAATTGCCAATAGCCATTGAGATTTCCCACTTTGTGCCCTTTGATTTGTCCACAAACTATTTTATTAGGTTGAGATATTACCTTGTGTGAAATGGTTTGCTTGGGGACAAGCAAACGTCTAAGTGTGTGGGAGTGATTCGGGCCTAAATGTACACTTTTTATCCCCGTTTCTCTTTGTCGTTTGTGGTATTTGAGCTCCTAAAAGGGTGATTTTACACTAGGTTTCTTGTGTTTCAATGTGTTTCAGAGTCTAACAGGTGGAACCAATCCCCGGAGTCGAAAGTTGGAAGAAAAGGCGCAAAGACCGGGCAAAGAGGAGGATCCAACCGCAGTTCACGGTCAGAGCTTGGAGTTCATGATCGCCAGGATCGTGAACTGGAACCACAAACCGTGAGCCGCAGAGTGTCCAGAGGAGTTTCATGGGTTACTGACTCCAAGGCAGTTCACGGTCGCAAGAGTGTGAACATGAGCCATGGACCGTGAACTCTATAAGTGAAGCGTCGCGTTTTAATCTATGTTCACGGTCCCAGCCTGATGTTCACGACCGTGAACTGGGACCGTAAACTGGGCGCGATCTATGTATAAATTAAGAGCTGAAGGGAAGAAGAGGGGAGAGCCCAAAGTGAGAGAAACCTTCTTCTTCTTGCAATCCTAGAGAGAGAAAGTCACGAACCATGAGGGAGAAAATGCTAGGTTTTGCTCCAAGTGAAGATTTTGGAAAAACCTCTAAACTTGAATTAGACACCTAGGTTAACTGTGATTATGCCGTCCAAACCTTAGTTTGAGGAAGAAGGTAAATCAACCCTCAAGTACTTGAGCCAAGAGGGTTATAATTGTAGCCTATAATGCTTTCCTTGGACTAGCAATTGAGAGGATGGTTTCTAACCATTGTTGCACCTCCTATGGGTCACAATTGCCTTGTCACACACCGATTCATTCGATCCCACAGTTCATGGTAGTTAGTTAGGGGGAAGCAAATCCCAAGTGAAGCTTCGCACCAAGAGTTTTCCACCCTTTTACTTTTCAAGTCTTGCTTTTTAATAGTAGATTGTAGAGATTTTAGCAACCAACATTCCGCTAGATAATGTTTCAAATAATTGAAGTAGGGTTATATGGGTCGGCCTGGGTTGATATTTAAACATATTTGCCCTATATTGCACCCATTTAAGGTTTATACTTGTGCCTTAGGTAGGATTTTATTGTGATGTTCGGAGCGAGTCAGTAGAGCCTAGGCTAAATCTAGGTAATTAAGATGCTGCGATGATAGACCGTCATTTACACATGTTTTTACCCCCATTCTTACACCGTTTGAGGTGTTGATTCTCGTGTTTTAGGCCGATTTCACGGTAGGTTGTGCTTGTTTGTGATATTTCAGGTCCTAGGACGTGAATGAAGGCTTAGGAGCGAGTCTGGGGTCGATTGGACGAGGATCGGACGCATGGCGAGGTTCTGAGGAAGTCGCACGGGCACACCCACAACCCGCACGGCCGTGCAATTGACCAGTTTGGCCGTGCGGGATCGTGCGTGGGCACGCACGGGATTGTGCGTGGCCACGCACGGCCGTGCAAGTGACCAGTTTGGCCGTGCGGGATTGTGCGTGGGCACGCACGGGATTGTGCGTGGCCACGCACGGCCGTGCAAGTGACCAGTTTGGCCGTGCGAGTTGGCTGAGGTTCAACTAATTGATACGCCGCGTTTTGAGGTGCACGGCCAGAATGGTGATGTGCACGGCCGTGCACCCTGGCCGTGCGAGTCGGGAATGGCTGTTTTTAACCCAAATTCGAGCCAAAGGAGGAGGAGAGCTGGGTTTTTGGATCCCAAACACCCAAGGGACGAACCCTAGAGAGAGAGGGCGATTTGAGGGCATTCTTGGAGTAGAGAAGGAGGATTTCTTCGCCTTGGAAGCTCGAGGAACAAGCCCGGACTTGAAGACTGATCATCTGAAGATTCTTACTGCAGTCTCTCTCTTCTCTATGGAGTAACTTCCCTTCACTTAGGTTTTGAGGAACCCTAGCTATGTTTGTTTGATTGGATGATTGTATGAGTACTCTGACTTGATAATCTTGAGTTCATATTCAATCTATGCATGTTTTCATGATTCAATTATGCTTTAGTCGAGATTATTGATTCTGCTTTGATCCTATGAGAGGGAATACCTGATTAGGTCAATAGAGCACCATAGATTGATAGTAGTGGATCGATTGCTTTAGTCGAGGGTTGATTCACTGCTTTGTATCGATTGAGAACCCCTTTCGATAGAGGGAGTCTAGTTCAGAACGCCTTGATCAGTTGTTCTAGAGAAGGATACGTCCCTCTAGGCAATTGACTCAAGTGGGCCTTGTTCCTTTAGTCGAGACTCAAGGTCTAGTCAAGGATTCTCCGCATTGTGAATGAAAGTGAAACAGGTTAGAGATCATCAATCATTAATCTGGCTAGTGGCTAGGGGGAATCATACCTAAGTGAGTTCCCAACCTGTAATTAGATTAACTTTAACTGTAGTTTGCTAGAGTAGTTTTAGTTCTTTCATCTTAATCTGATTTGCTAAATAATAAACTGAAGTTGAGTAATAGTAACTCTAGAGACCCGTGGATTCGATATTTATCACTTGAGCCACTATACTGCAGTCCCTTTCATTGGTTACACTTGGCCTTTGTTAGGAGTTGTGTTTTAGAGCATCATGCGACTAACCAGTCTCAGCTCGTTAAGTTATGTGGAAGAAACCGAAAGAGGGTTGGATTAAAGCCGGTGTAAAGGGTAGCAAGAATAATGATGAGTCCTCATTGTCAAGCCATTGGTCGCGTTATTGTGGATTTGGTTGGACGTTGCGATGCGTTATTACGGATTTGCTAAGATGTCGGATGGCAGGCTTCTCGAACAAGGTGAGATATGTTTCAATTCTGGAAGTCGAGATGTAAGTAGAGGTGACAAATGGATAAGATCCATGGATTGGATTGGTAGATCCATGAATTAATTTGGTGGATTCATGGATTGGATTATATGGATTAGTGGATTGATCCAAGTGACATCCAAGTCTTGGACAAAAATGTAAATTTTGAAAAGTTTAGGTACTAAAATGTCATAATAAAAAACTTTAGATAATAAAATGTAATTTTCCAATGACATTTTTTGTATAAAAAATATTATAGGTATCAAAATGTAAAATATAAAAAATCTAGATACTAATAGTAATTGTCATTTGAATCCATGAACCAATCCACGAATTAGTTGGATATTTAAGTGAATAAATTAGATTGAATTGAGAATTGCCACAGTTTTGTTTTAAGCAGCAGTGGAATCCGACTCCAAGTGATAATATTAGAGGCAGTGGCGGGGGCAGCATTTCAAATCACCCATGTCCTCTTTTCATTACTTAAATATATAAGTATCTAATAAAATAATTATTTAATAAAAAATAATTATATCCAAATAATTTATTCATAAATTAAAAATAACCGATTATACTATCATACTTTTCAGAAACAACTACGGAGGAATTTCATATAGCGAAGAAGCGCAAAAACATTCGCTGTCTACACTATTATATAAGTCTCTTTCAATGTATCTTACTAAACAAGTATTAGCAAACTGGTCGCCAAATCAACTTGGAAACTTGTTCTTAAAATAACTCAAAGCTGAAAATGCTCTTTTTACACTTGCAGTTGTAATTGGTGGATTAAAACTAGTTGGATTGTCGTTAGACAATTTCAAGGTTGTTAAGGAAAGATCGAATAGGCATAAGGAGAAAAGAGACCCGATTAGTTCTTTATTGCAATTGGAATTTCGTTTATTGTATAATAAATTAATTTTATGTCAATTTTGAAATAATTTTATGTCAATTTTGGACAAGTAATGAGTTGTGTTGTAGTGACAAAGTACTCAATACTACTTATACGTGTTGTGTTCTATCACCAATATAAATATATATGACGTATTTTTGTTCCACCCAAATCTAATAGTACGTCCATCACCAATATAAATATATATATTTTTGTTCCATGTCCCGGGACAAGGTCAAAATATAAATATATATATATATATTTTTGTTTCCATGTCCCAGGACAAGGCCAAAAGACCCTGCCTCAACCACTGATTAGAGGGGGGCATTATCCGAAATTAGAAAAACTTTGTATCAAGCTTCATCAGAAAACAGAATCGGTTTCTGAAAAAAAAAAAAAAAAGGAAAGAAAGAAAGAAGAGGAAAACAGAATCGACAGCATAAGTTGCTCTGTTTTTCAGGAGCTCTTCCCCTATTTTCAGTTCACCAAAGATGCACAATAGTAAAACTAAAGACTGAATCATTTCCCCCATTCTGACTTATCTATCCAAATCATCCCCATCTTTCCCTTCTTGACGACAAATTTGATCTTAAAAACTGGACCGACCTCATGGATAGGATATAATTTAAGCTCAGCGCATATCCATCATTCAAAATAAGATACAAAATTAGCGCCAGATCGAGATGGCTCATATATGATACAAGTAGGCCCTAGATATATATTACATTCACTCTCCACTCCAGTCTCCACTCTGCAAGTTGTGGCCTGGCTTTAGATCATTATTATTTATTACTTTATTATTGATTATTCCAACATTTATATTATATAATTATTTATTAAAAGGGGGGAAACGAAAAACGGAGACATTGTTATCTATCTATCCCAATTGTCCCGCGTTTTGTTCCTTCATCTCTGCAGCTGCAGCTGCAGCCTGCAGGGCAAGGTCTGAAAGCTTACATTACATGAGGAGGTCCTTGACCAACTCCTTCACCACATTCCTCCCCGTCCACCCCTTGGACTGGGACCTGGAGCTGGCCAAGTGAGTCTCCTGGCGGTTGAACTTGAGCCTCCTCGCTTCCTCCGGCGACACCCTCCAAGCGTTCGCCAGAACGTCGGCAGGGATGGCCCTGATGGCCGAGGTCCGCCCCGCGATCGAGTTCACCATGGCGTTGTCGTTGGTCTTGAACGACACCCACTCGAACCTGTCGCTCTCGCAGCGCTTCACCACCGCGAAGTTCTGGGGCACCGTCAGCACCTGCCCTTCCCTCAGCTCGCCGTCGAACACCGAGTTCCCGTTCTCGTTCACGATCTGGACTCTGGCCTGCCCTCGGATGGCGTAGATTATGCTGTGCGCGTTCAGGTTCCAGTGCGGCAGCCGCATGGCTTCCTGCAAAATTAAATTGGCAATTGATACCTCTTTCTGGGATGGGATGTAGAATTAGGGATTTGAAAAATTAGGGATTTTACGTACGTTGTAAAGGACGCCCCTCTCGGCGCTCATCTGGATCCAGCGGAGGACGGGGAGGTTGTGGCTGTTGACGGTGGTGATGCGCCCGGCTTCAGGGGTGAAGATGTCGGCGCGTGAGGGATCGCCGATGTTCTCCTTCAGCCTCATCGAGCAGAAGGTCTCTTCCACGCCGTTGGCAAGCTGGTAGCGGCCGCCGCCCTGCTCCTGCCTCTCCTCCTGAGCCCTCCTCGGAGGTCTCACGAACTCCAGCTGCCCTTCGATTCGGATGATGCTGCCTCGGTTGTCGTTCTCGCCCTGGAGCTTCCTCGCCAGGTTCTCGTCGATGTTGAAAGCCTCGGCGATGAAGCTGGAGTCCATTCCGCAGAAGAGGTTGTTGCAGGTGGTGGAGCCTCCTTGGCGCCTCTTCCGCCTCTCGTCCTGGCCGCGGCTCAGCCTTCCGCCTTGCTGCGATTGCTGGAACTCGTCTTCAGGGTTCCCGGCCAGGTAGAAATTCTGCATGCAACCAAATTCCGTAAGTAACAATTCTACCTTATATATGTTGGATGAGAAGAATAAGTCATTGAGATAGATAGTTGTTATGAGATGATTAATGCGAGGAGGAGGATTTTGGACCCTGGGGTTGTTGTCGAGCTGGTTGAGGTGGCTGGAAGTGTCGTGGACGGTGACAGCAATGACGGGTTCGTTGCCGTCGTTGTGGCACCAGTGGGCCACGCCGGCAGGGATGGCGATGATGTCACCTTCTCGGAAGGTGCGGATCTTCTGGTGCTGATCTTGGGCGCTGCCGCCGGTTTGGAACTGTTGTTGCCCTCCCTGCTGCTGGGGTTCCTCGAACGTCTCGGGGCATCCTGGGAACATGATTCCAGTGTGGCCCCTTCCTATATAGACAAAATGTGGTAAGCTCAGCAGGTGCGGTGCGATGCGATCACTCATGAAAAGCAGAAGATATCATGATTAGTTAATGGTATGGTACCTTGAACGATGTAGACGAGCTGAGGAGTGTTGCTGTAGGAAGGCAAGAGGAGGCCGTTGGGCTCGATCGTGCGCCTCACAATGGCCACTCCAGCGCACTGGAACTGCTCACGGCTTGGATTCCAGGTCTCGATGGTACCGGCTTCACTCTGGATGCGGTTGTCCGGCTCGATTGCGTTGATCCTGTCTAGCTGGCACTCGTTTCCCTGCTGCTGCCATTGCTGCCTACCCTCACAAGTGTGGGACAGAACTGCGAAAAGGCAGAGTGAAAGGCAGAGAAGGACAGTGCTAGACTTTGCCATGGTGGTGAGTATTGGGATGAGCAACTGGTGGTGTTTTGGTGAAGTGATGATGGATGTATTTATAGCGGAGGAGAGGGCGGTGAATGATCGCCACATAAGAAGCGAAGGGGAAGCCTTGTTCCGCCATTCTTCACTTTGCATGGCTGCATGACCTCCCTTTTCTAACACGTAATAAGGACAACGAAGGGCAGGTGTCTTTGGAGTTTCAGAGAAACATGCATCCATGCAGAGGTGAGTGGTTCTGATTAAGAAGCAGATTGATCCCAATTCCATTCTTCCGCCAAATTACTTACAGTTGAAAGAAAAGAGGGAATTCGGAATTGCTGATTGTACTAATCGCGAGAGACATTAATGACTCAAATCAAGCAAGGATGGTTTTGGGATTCGGGTTTAGTGTTTTATCAGCATTCTGGAGTCATGTAATCAGATTTTCTTTCAATTGTTTGAAAGGCAATAAAAACAAACAAAATGAGTCGATGAATAGTCGGTACTATACTTGAGACGTGAAGTAGCTGTAGATTAGCGTTAAAATTGTTGTGTGCATGTCTTCTATTTCCTTCTTTTCCATTCTTCTCTGTTAATTCCTCACTCTGAGTACGTCATTGCTAATTAAACAGAGTTGTTAACTTACAGCTCTATGAAGAAGACGACTTGTACTTCCAAAACTCAGAATGATGGTTCATGGAAATTTTGGTGTAAGTACAACAATTTTCAATTATCATACAATAACAAGTTAGTGAGTATTAATGAGTTACAATTAATCTATGGTTACTGTGAACTTGCCTTGATAAGAAATATGTTTGGCTACTCAATCCAATGTTGATAGTCACCTTCAATTTAAAAATTTGGCTTTTGATGCGACTCAGGGGGCATGGTTTGCATTTTCTATGAGAAATTGCAACTGGGAATGCTAGTCAAGGGTGCTTCTTCGTACCTTAGTTTACTACCTAGCTTTAGTGAGGGTAAGTAATGTCTGTGGTCACTAGTTCAAGAATTGGGTCATATTTAGCCTATTGTCGGAAATGCAACCTTTGTATGTATTTCAAATAATCAGGCCCACAAATATTAGATTTTCCAAAGCTAAAGAATCACCCTCTAAGGCCACAAACTCTAGTTGGGGGAGCCACTTTTTCGTTCCAACAGCCACCAGCAGGAGTTCTGGTGCGCCCCACCCAGCGGACGTGATTGCTCGAGTAACAAATATACTCGTCGGAATTCTAAAAAAAAAAAATGCCGGATTTGGCTCAAATATGATATTGTGAATGCATTCATTCAGTTCCATTTGTCACGGCGACTACCTATGAGTACTACTCATTCTTTCCTCTGCCTTGTGCCGAAGGAAGATACTATTGAAGATATTAAAGATCTTAGGTCCATTAGTTTAATGGGTAGTATTAACAAACTCTTTAGCAAGGTATTGGCCAGAAGACTCAGGGAGGTCCTCTCCGATCTTTTTTCTGTTAATCAGCAGGCATTGGTAAAGGGAAGAAAAATTGCGGATGCAGGGCTCATCGCATTCGAACGGGTCGACAGCCGGCGGAAGAGTAGAAAACCCGGGCTGATGTTTAAGTTAGACATCGAGAAGGCGTTCGACAATATAAGTTGGAACTGTTTACTCAATGTGTTGTCTAAACTTGGCTTTCCACACAAGTGGCAAGATTGGATTCGTGGCGACATGTGCTCTCCCATGATTTCATTATTAATCAATGGCGAATCAAAAGGGTACTTTCCAACTTGCAAAGGCCTTCGACAAGGCGATCCCCTATCGTCGGGTCTCTTTGTACTTGTAATGGACATCCTATCTTTCATGATAGCCAAGCTTAAAGAAGAAGGAAGAATCAACGACTTCTACATAGATGAAAGAAACAGCAGAGGAGAAGTTACCCATCTACTTTTTGCAGACGATACTTTAATCTTCTGTGATGCAGATTATAATCAAGTTCTCAATATCCTAGATACTCTTGCGTGCTTCCAAGCTGTCATCGGATTGAAAATTAACCTGGAGAAGACAATTATGTTCACAGTTGGCGATGTGCCAAACTCGGATTACCTTGCTGAGATTTTTGGATGCAAATGGAGTCAAGAAACTTCCAAGTATCTCGGGTTTCCGTTGGGAGCTAAGGCTAATGCTATATTCACTTGGAGCACCATCTGTGATAACTATCAAAAGCGCCTTGACGGGTGGAAGAGACACTATTTGTCTCTAGGAGGCAGGCTGACCTTGAATAAAGCAGTACTCTCCAATCAGCCTGTTTATTACTTCTCCCTGCTTCGGGTGCCAACTACAGTCATCAAGAATATGGAAAAAAACACAGCGCAAGTTCATTTGGAGTGGACCGGGAGACAACCATAAAGTTCATTTAGTTAACTGGATATATGTAAAGCTCCCAAGGAACATGGTGGCCTAGGAGTCATTGATCTGTCCAGTTATAACAAAGCAATGCTAAGCAAATGGATTTGGAGATATGCAAGTGAAAGGGGAAGTTGGTGGAGGTCTCTCATTGAAATCAAGTATTCAAACACTACATCTTCCTGGCATACTGTTAGGAGTAGCAATGGGTTTCAAGGTTCAGTTTGGGCCAATATCACAAAGGAGCACTATGATTTTTGGAAACTCGCTAACATCGACCCCGACAATGGAGCTTGGGTCTCCTTCTGGCACGACGGTTGGATCCCTGAAGTGACTCTTGATGATTCCTTCCCCCGTGTCGCCGCCGCCACACCGAATCAAGAAGCCTGGATCTCTGACTACTTTATCCGATCTGGTGAGAACGTGAGTTGGACTTTTCCTTTAAATAATAATCTGGGGGGGGGGGGGTGGGCTGAAAGGGAGCGGGTTTCTCTTCTAAATCTTCTTAATTCTATTGTTATATCAAGGGTAACTAGTGGACCTCCTAGGCTCGTCTAGTCACCACGATCAGATTCCTTGTTTTCTGTCCGATCAATGTACAAGTGCCTCGTCAAGGAGCGTTTTGAAGGAGTACCAAACTTCCATGCTGCTTCCGTTTGGCGCCAATCAATTCCCATCAAGATCTGTACTTTCATTTGGCTTCTATCCCACATGAAAATACTCGCTCTCAACAACCTCAAGAAGAAAGGGTGGCTGATCGGGAAACGATGTGAGCTGTGTCGAAAAGAGGAAGAAACTGTGGACCATTGTGAATTTACTCGCGATATTTGGAGCAGGTTGCGAAGAATCTGCAACAGTCTCAATCCACCATCTGGAGACACTCTGTCCACAATTTTCATGTGGGGGACGGATGATCAGAGTGACATTAATGGTTGGATCAGCTATTCTGCCTACCACTCTATTTGCTGGCAGGTGTGGTTAGAAAGAAACCAACACATCTTCCATGATATTAGTCTCGACCCGACTGTCATCCTCAAGAAAGCATCTAGATCCATGATTTATTGGGCCATCTCGCATGAGAAGAATGGGAGGGAGCAATGTTTGCTGTGGCTCAATGCCATTCTATCCATTTTGTGATGACTTCTCTTTGAATTGAGATACGAAGGAAGTTTTTGTTTGCACATGTCGGTTTTGGTGGTGCTGGTGTGGATAATGGCATAGTTGGAGCGTTCTATTGTTTTCAAAGATGTTGATAGGTGTTGCTGGTACCTTTGGATTAAGTGCTGCTGATGCTGTTGCTTTGTTCGTGTATGCTGGTTGTCCTAGATGAGGGTTTATAAGATGTGCCAATGAAGTGCGCTACTGGTTTCTGTCGGTCAAATGCAGAGCTAATCATCATTTATTTCCTTCGTTTGTATGTGGCTGCAGTCGTGGACTCTCGCCTTTTGACGTTTTCTTCTTTTTTTCCCTTTGCTTTTACTGTTGTGGTTTAGGGCTTCTGAACCGGCTCTTCTTTTATGTTTTTACTCACTCTTAACTTCCTTGTTTCATTTCGTTTTTAATCTCCGTTGTCAGCTATACTAATTACTCCAAGTTAGGACAAATATATATAAGTTGGCGCGGTAGTAAAGTGGTGACTCTCGATGCCGTATTTCAATGGATCATCAGAACTATTGCTATTATAGGAATTAATTATTTTCTTACCTAACAGTTGATTGTGAGATATTCCTAACCTACTACGACTACTAGGTTGCACTTTCACCCGTTCAAAAGAGATACTTAGGGCTAGTCCCCCCTAACTCTTTCACTACAACAAATTCGGCCTATTAGGACAAATATTTATTTTTGTCATTCTTTGTTTGTCATAATAGGTACTATAATTTGACAAAAAACTTATATGTCACATTTGGTACTCCTAATGTGACAAATTGTTGTTTTGTCATAATACTTTGTTAGTTTAAGTCTTTAATGTGACCAAATTTGTGTGTCACCATATGGTTTGTCAAAATAGGTAACCCCCATCGGTATCTAAGAGACATAAAGTGACAAAATGTCATCGACAAAGTATCATTTGTCATATTATGTCTTTCTGAATTATTTAAACGATAATTTGGTTTGTCACAACACACAACCATAATCCCTCGTCAATCTGACAAAATGTAATGTTAGTGGTAATATAGTGGTTTCGTGTTGTGACAATGACATTTCGTCATATTTGGTTCTTTTTAGGCTGAAACCTCTTTCCCCTCGGGAAAAAATTATACTCCTTTCTTGTCTGCGCAGCGGATCTTCTTATACAAAAAAATTTGCGCAGTCGATCAATAACCCAATCCTCCACCAATTTTCCAACCACCGCGATCATTTATCCGTCCTACACCAATCGGCCCGGCCAGTCACCAGCGGGTGTTCCGTCGTCGTCGCCGTTCCACCAATCGGCCCGTCACCACCACAGTTCAAAGATCCCCAATCTCCGCAACCTAAATTTGGGTAGCAACATCGCTGTAGCAAACTCGCTGGTCTGGCAGAAACAGGTAAGCGTCGTCCCTCCCTCCCCTGGCTACTGTGTACTGCTTTAGCTTAAGAATATTCTGTTGGTTTATCTATCTGAATGAGCTCTTGTGTTTCCTCGTCATTGACTCGGTGGCAGGGGCTGATTATATCTTCGATCCTTCAACCATCCTTTTGTGCTAATTACAATAGAGAGAATGCGCCCCAAGCACTAAGCAAAGGTAAGATTCGATTAATGTCTTGAATTTTAATTTCTGTTTCACTTGAAATCGTGTAAGTCAACATGGTTCCTAATGTTTTGTCATATACCCTCTGCAGATCCTTTTCTAGTTCATCTCACGCTGTGCTTCCATCTTGACCAACTGCCTATAAAGGGAAGGTCAGTTTCTTTACGCACAGATTGAATGAGTAGAAATTGGATTAAGTTTAAGGATAGGTTCTGTGATGAATATCAAAAGGGGGTTTCTGAGTTCATAGGGGCTGCCAGCAAACATGTTGATACGCTAGGTAGAACTAGATGCCCTTGTAAAAGGTGCAATAATCGAAACTTCAAGAAGCTGGAGATTGTCGCAGATGATATAACCAGGAATGGCATGGTGGAGACATATACTACATGGATCCATCATGGTGAGTCGTTTGACTTTGAGAGTACTAGTCATCAGCCTAGGCAACCTACAGTTGTGTTTGAGAGTGACGGTTTAGAGGATGACATAAATGATATGTTAGGGGATATGCTGCGTGCTACTTCTGGAAATGCTCCTGTCATTGAGGGGTCAACAACACCAAATTATTCTAATCTAACAGACCTCAATGACAAATTGGCTCGGCTAATCCGTGATGCCAATTTGCCATTATACCCTGGATGCAAAGACTTTTCTAGATTATCATTCGTTATGAAGCTGCTGAACAATAAACTGGTAACCAACAGTACTGACAAATCCTTTAACCTGAATCTGGACCTAGTCAAGAAAGCATTACCTGTTGGCGAGACGCTTCCTTCTTCATTCTATGAAGTTAAGCGGTACATGGGAGATCTTGGTTTCGGTTACACCACTATAGATGCCTGCCCAAATCATTGTGTACTCTATAGAGGTCCTCTAGAATCTGCCATTACATGCCCAAAATGCAATGAGCCTAGATACATACCTGGGAAACAAAATAATGTAGCACAAAGGAAAGCTAGGTATTTCCCACTAAAAGATAGGCTTCAAAGATTGTTCATGACTAAGGAAGATGCTAAAGACATGCGGTGGCACAAGGAATTGCGTGTTGATGATGATACGCTAAGGCATCCGGCTGATGCAAAAACTTGGAAACGGTTCGATGAGGATCATAATTGGTTCGCTGCAGACCCTAGGAACCTTAGGGTTGCTCTTTTGAGTGATGGGTTCAACCCTTTTGGTAACATGAGCAATAGTTATAGCATGTGGCCTGTCGTGGTAACACCATACAATCTCCCGCCTTGGAAATGTATGACCGAACCTTTTTTTTATTCTCACTGTCCTTATACCTGGAGAGCAATCGCCTGGTAATAACATACATGTGTACTTAGAGCCCCTAATAGAAATGTTGAGAGAGTTATGGGAGGATGGGGTCAGTACGTATGACGCACACTCAAACGAAACATTTCGTTTACATGTTGCGTTGTTATGGACAATAAATGATTTCCCAGCATATGGCATGCTATCGGGCTGGGGTACAAAGGGGAGATTAGCTTGTCCTATCTGTAATATTGGGACATGTTCCGAACGTCTACATGCCAGTCATAAAGAGTGTTACATTGGGCATCGAAGATGGCTGCCAAGTGACCATAGGTGGAGAAAAAGCCGTAAATTTGATGGGAAGCATGAACTTAGAGGCAAACCAAGAGTGTTATCTGGAGATGAACTTTTGCAGCAAATTGAGAAGGCTTTTCAATCTGATGTGGTAGTCAATGAGGGTGGGAAAAGGAAAAGGTGCTGTTCTGATGATAATGTGCATAACTGGAAAGTAAAAGCTTCATTTTGGAGTTTGCCATATTGGAAAACTATAGAGTTGAGGCATAACTTAGATGTAATGCATGTTGAAAAAAACATTAGTGAGAATGTGATAGCTACGCTGCTAAATATCGAGGGAAAGACCAAAGATACAGCCAATGCTAGACGTGATTTGGAAGACATGCGTATTAGGAAAGAGCTACATCTGGTGAGAGACGGTGATAAGTATAAAATGCCTCTTGCTTTATACACCTTAAAAACCGCACAACGAAGGTCGTTTTGTGACTGGTTGAGGTCGATAAAGTTCCCAGATGCTTATGCATCTAATATATCCCGGTGTGTGACTACCGATGGTAGGTCAGTCACTGGAATGAAAAGCCATGATCACCATGTCTTCATCCAACGCCTACTTCCTGCTGCCGCACAAAGATTTCTGAGCAAAGAAGTCTATAATATATTGTCTCAACTTAGTGAGTTCTTTCGTGAGTTGTGTTCAAGAACGATTACCATTTCCACTGTCACAAAACTCGCGGATAACATCCCAGTTATACTTTGTAACTTGGAAATGTTGTATCCACCAGCTTTCTTCGTCGTGATGATGCATCTGCCTATTCACTTTCCCCACTCAATTGAGCTTGGGGCACCGGTGCAGTACCGCTGGATGTACCCAATGGAGTGGTACACACCAAGTCGAACCCATTAAATTTTTAACTGCTTGGGATCCTTTATATAACATAGCTAATTTTTGTATTCTGATTTTTTTTTGGGTAATTTTACTAGGTTCTTAGGAACTCTTAAATCATATGTTTCTAACAAGGCTCGTGCCGAGGGATCCATTGCCAAAAGGTATATAGCCAAAGAGTGTTCAGATTTCTGTTCTAGATATCTTAAAGGTGTTGAGACCCGAGCAAGTAGGCTAGACAGGAATGATGATGGGTTGGACGATGTAGATTATAATGGGTTTGATGTTTTCCGTCACCAAGGTAGATCTATAGGAGCTGCTAACTATGAGCCTATTGGCCAGGCTGAGTTCCATAAGATCCAATGGTATGTCTTCACTAATTGTGATGAAATTGAAGACCAATTGAAGTAAGTTTTTTTTATTCTTCTTTGTGTTCAGATTTCTGTTTTGTTTCTAAACCCCAGTTGGTTTTGTCTTCTTCTTTTTTTGTGCTTAATAAGTGCCATTACAGTGTGTATACGGAAAGAGAGATTCTTGAGCTATCCAAATAGTACCCCATCATCCATTGCAGCTCACTTCCCATATTGGTTTAAAACATTTGTAAGCGCCAACCTTTTCCATTCTTTTTTCTTTGTCTTACTCACAACATCATTTTCTTAAATTTTTGGCCCCTTTCATTTCGTTTTAGGTCTCCGAAAAGTTTTTGGCTGGCACGCTTAAAGAGACTGACCATTTATATGTTCTAGGATTAGGGGCTGATGAAAGGATTACTAGATATCCTGGACTCATAATTAACGGGGTTCGATATCAAATAAATATGTCTGATGAAGGTCATCGAACTCAGAATAGTGGTGTCATGGTTAGGGGCGAGCACAATGGCGAGACTATAGAGTATTACAGGGTTCTGATCGAGATAATTAAGCTGCAATATTCTAGAGGGCATCGGGTCTTTATATTCAAGTGCGAGTGGTTCAATGTGGGTGACAAGAAGAATGGAATAAGGACGGATGGACACTTGACAAGCATAAACATGGATCGAAAATGGGGTGCGGAGGACCCATATGTATTGGCCAGTCAGGCTAACCAGGTGTTTTACATTGCCGATATTAAGAATGGTGGTGCATGGCATATTGTCCACAAGGTATGTCCCAGAAGTTTGTACGATGTCCCCGAGAAGGAGGCAGCAATACATGGGGATCCATTGTCTGAAAATCAGCCATACCAACAGGATGTGGATCTTTCGGACTTTCATGTTAGTGAAAGTGAGTTACCGGATTTGAGTCGTGATGACGAGGCACCAACAATTGTTACTGAGACAGTGATACGATCATTTGATAGACGATCAGCATCGGTAGAAGCAAGCGATGATGACATCGACGACGACATATTGGATGACCATCATTTGAACAGTAATGATGTTGAACACCAAGATGGGTCTGATCCATCGTTCAGTGACCAGGAAGAAGAAGGATAACAGTAGAAGCTAATTATAGTGGTTTTCACACAGTAGCAGATTATTGGTTGCGAGCTGTGTTTGTTTGCAGATTTATTTGGTAAATATATGTGTAGAGCTTTTTGCGGGCCTTAGATTCATTTTTGGTGATTTTTGGGTAGATTAGAATAAGAAGATTGAATTTATATGAATGTTTACTCGAGGTGAATGGAGTCTGACAATAGGGTTTATTTTTTCGTTTTTGGGGTACTAATATGAACCCAAGCGATGCATAAACCCAGATTGTGTATTCGATCCTTTATTTTGAGGATGGATTGGGTTTCTGGTGCAGTTTGGTAGCTTTTGTGTAGGGCTTTGTCTGAGTTTTGTTAGAGAATTGAAATGAATGTGTGTGGTTATGAGCCCACATGATTTCGTGGATCACAGCCCACAATTGATTTAAGTCCCGAAAGGGCCTATTTTAAAACAACAAAGCGAAGACAAGGACCTTAGTCCTTCGTCTCTGTCAAAGGCAAACCCTAAAATCCTCTTCTTCGAACCTTTCTCTCTCGCTACCTCTCCATTTGCGATTTCTCTCTGACGATTCTTCCCCGTAATCTGCTCATCGCGCAAGTTCACGACACCAATCTGCTCATCGCGCAAGTTCACGACACCAATCTGCTCATCGCTCAAGTTTGGGGACCCGTTTTACAAGTAAGCTTTCTTTTCCGAATCACGATTCATTTCATACATGCTCTGCCGATTTGTGCCCTCGATGCGCGATTCCTGCCCTCGATTCGCGATTCCTTTCATTTGATTCGCGAATCCTGCCCTCGATTCGCGATTCCTGATTCGTTTAATTCTAGGGTTTCGTAGATGCTCTTCCGATTTGTGCCTCGTGTGAAGTCTCTGTTGCCCCTTCTTCGTTTTTTTGCCACCTCTGCTTTGTAATTGTTTCACATGCAATCCTTGAAGACTTTGTTATCAGTTTGGTGAATTTGGGTCGAGGGTTGAGGTATTGTGGGCAATTCAGATTATGCAATTTTCTTCGCCAGTAATCTCATAGTTAGGTTCACTGAGTTTTGGCGTATGATTTTGTTTCCTTTTTGTGTTTGTTTGTTTCTTCTGGTCAGCCTTGGTTGCCAATAGGATTAGTTGATGTGTGGGGTTTTAGAAGTTTCTGTTGGACAGCTGGGGGCAGTTCTACTGCTCATATTTGCTAATGATCTTTTGTTAATTAAGACTGTATGCTTTTAGAGGATCAGTGTTGTTCTACTGAACTGTCAATTGACATCCCCTCTATTCAACTTACATTTTGTGATGGAGTACATATTTCGATTGCTGAAATTGCAAACCACATAAGTTGAGCTGCTTCCCAGCCTACTAATTGCTTCTTATCATTCTTTATCTTGCTGGATTTAGACACTGTTTTCAATTAATTCAATAAGAATCTGCCGACTTTTCTGTTTGGGCATTTGACCTATCTTGAGATTCATTTGATGGACTTTTCTGTTTGGACTTTTCTGTTTGGTGTAGGTATGCCGCCACTCAAGAAGAAGAAGGCCGCTGCTGACAAGGGTGTACCTATCGCTGAGTTTTATCGGGCGACCAGATCAGGGAGGGTGCGCCCGGAACCTGCTCGGTCCACCGCATCTGTAAGCAGGGGGAGTGGATGTCGAACTGGAGCCACAATGAACGAGGACAGTCAGCGCACCGACACTGTGCATCTAGAGGAACCCAGTGGCAATGACGATTCGGAGGAAGAAGCATCCAATCATGACAACGGAGAAGGTAGTAATCCAACTGGATTAGGACCACCCCCTGCGACAAAAAAGAGGGGACTGTCCAAAGGGTATGAGATAATGAAGAGAACCAGAACTGGAGGAAAGATATGGAATTTACGTAATGGAAAATGGGCAGTCATTTGTAGGGCCAAATGAGAGCTTGCTGAAGACAGAGTTGGGCGTCGTAACACGTCTGATGGCCCCGATAAGGAAGTACTACTGGTCCAAGTTGACTAAAGCAGATAAGCACCCGTTATTCAAGAAGCTAGAGGTAATTTCCCAGTACTGGTAGTTTGATGTGAATCTAGTTGTAATTCTTTTTTAGATAAGTATAAAATGCAAGTTGTATATCTTTTTAGAAATGTGTTGTAATATGTTCGTATATGAACTATATAATTGTTTTTTCATGTAGGATGAATTTGACATAGACACAGCAGGCGAAGATGCAAGGAAGATTATGGAGAAGAGAATGAAGAAGCGGTTCATCAATTACAAGTATGCGATGCATGCTCACTACTTGAAAGACCCTGAGAAAGCCAGGACAGACCCTCCTGTTGACATGAATATAGAGGACTGGAATCTGCTGTGTGATCACTTTGAGAGTGAAAAGTTTCGAGTGAGTAAATCCAACTGTTTCATCATAAATTTCCTTTGTTACCTTGTCTTACAATCAAAGGTTGCTTATTAATTAAATTTGTCGTATGCAGAAGCGAAGTGAAATTAATAAAGTCAACAAGAGTAAACAAGTGTATGCACACACTTCTGGTGCAAAATCTCTTGATCAAAGAATATATGAATTGGTAAGATGTCTACAATTCCATGGAACATTTATACGGTATAGTTATGTGATTAAAATCTGCCTCAATGTAACTGCTTTGTGTAGGAGAAGAAGAAGAAGAAGCAGAAGCAGCAGGAGCAGCCTACTGGAGAGGAGCAGCCAACAGAAATGGAGGACGGTGAGATCGTAGAGGAGGAGCCACTAGATCTGCTTCTTTATGCAAAGAGGTATCAGAAGACTGACGGTAGTTGGGTATCGGAGGAACCTATGAAAAACTATGTGAGTCCGACCATATCACTTGCATTGTTTCATTGTCAGAAGTTCATAGCCAACCGTGTCACCTATTTCATTAACACGTTTTGTTCATTGTGCAGCTGGAGATGCAGTCCCTTTGGATAGAAGCAAAGGCAGAAGGGAAGCCTGTATCAGGCCACGAGATTGTTCAGACGGTCCTGAAGAAGAAGCTGAAGTATGGACCCAAGGAGAACCCAAGATCAGCAAAGGAGCAACAACTCCAAGCGGAATTGGAGGCAGCAAGATCTGAAGCAGAGAGAAAGGCTAAGGAGTTTGAGGAGAAGATACAAAGTCAAGAAGAGCAGCTAAAAAGCCAGACCGAGAAGATACAACTCCAGGAAGAAAAGTTACAGAGCCAGGAGGAGAGGTTTGAGACTCAAGAAGAGGTGATGACCAAATGAAAGCTGCCCAGGAAAAGTTACAGCATTAAGTGCTAGTGATTGCTTGCCAACTACCCCGCAAATGAACTGCCAAGTCCAAGGTAACAACACTGCATCGGTTTGCAGACCCAGATGAGACTGCAAGCTATTTTTTGGTGTTAGAAGTATGTTAGTTTCTACTTTTGTGAACAAAGTTACCGTGGTTTGTGTACCGGTGAACAAGGAGTTTCATGTGTTGTGTCATGGTGGAACTTAGAATGTTTGTTTATGTTGAACAAGGAGGTAGACTGTTATGGGGATGCAAATGGATGTACTGTTTTGGATGGTTGGAAATATTTCCATGATCAGGTTGCAAGGCAGAGTGCACTATCGCATTATGGAGTTTGTAAAGCAGGGCAAATGTGACAACACTGGAAAGTTGTCATATTATGTGAAGTCCATGACAAATTGTCACTTTGTCATATTACACAGAAGTCAATTAAGCCAGCTTTCATGACGAGCTATACTTTTCATAAAACGCAGTTACGACAAAACCGCCCCGTCACAATTATAAGTTATGACAAAATCTGATCGTCCTAATGTACAAAAATGACAAAATTGATTCATCATAGAAGCAGTTACGACAAAGGATATTCATCATAATATAAATTATGACAAAATCAATTAGTCACAACAGTGGGATGTAAGAGTAGAAAGAAAGTAATATGACAAAATTAATGACACAACATGTTGTCATAATGAAGCCATTTGTCACATTTTAAACATATCCTGACAAATAAATATTTTATCATAATAGGCGTGGGACAAATTACTAACCTTTTACGGCAAACCCTGTTCGTCACAAAATCATGTTATGACAAACTATGATCTTGTAATATGACAAACACTTTTCTAAAAATTAACAATTTATGACAAATATAATGACAAACATATTCGTCATAATTTCTCTGTTTGTCACAATAGACCACCCAGAACCTCATATATACCAGAACCAGATGTGACAAATTTTGTTCAACAATTTGTCACATTTGATCTATCTTGACGGCGATAAAATGACAAACCCTTGTGACAAAAGCATTTGTCATTAAAGGTCAAATATGACAAAATAGGTATATAATATGACTAAATGGACGCGTCATAACAGGCCGAATTTGTTGTAGTGTTTGATTTGGTTAGGTATAGGTATAGGTATAAACGAAACACTACTTTCATGATGCTGAAATCCTCTATTATCACATCTAGGGCAATGGTCATGTCTCCTAAAGCACTCCTAGTAGACTTCTTGGTTCAATGATCATGCAACTGATAAATTGCTAGGGAGGTAAGATTGGATTCCTACAAGGGTAACAAGGGAAAACATGATTTCAAATTATAATGTCACATGGTTAAAATCACGTCTCACTTTATGTGGATTCTAGGCTTACCCTAGGGGGATGGTCATCACAACCTAGGTTAAGAATATGCACTAGTTAGATTTACCGAAACAAGATAATGACATCATAAAACATCAAGTAATCATAAAGTAAGAGAAGAGAAATCATTCCATTCATAAACAAACCTAAACATTCATCTAAGAATTCGAAGTTGTTACCCCAAGTACATAAGGATTATCCCATGAAAGATGATGATAAAACAATAGAAAAGGAGGAAGGAACCATTAGATGCCTAATTTCTAATTGGAGACTGGTATTCAATCTTCAAGGATGATTCCCTTTTTCTTCCCTCCTTGTTCCTATCTCAAGGGAACCCTAGGCTCCCTTTCTGAATCTCAGTCTATTTCTCTCTCTTCAAGTCTCCACAACTCAGCACACCCAATATGAATCAGGCATCCTCTATTTATAGGCGGCAAAAAATCCAGACAAGTTCGCGGCCTGCATACAAGAGTTCGCGATCGGGATGTGCAACTCTAGGCCGTGATTAGAAATACAACCATTTTGGGTTGCACTGGAAGTGAGTTTGTGATAAGGAAATCACGACCGTGAATTATAAGTCGCGAGCGTGATCTTTTTCACAGGCTCAGACATGAAGGGATGCATAGTGTACCGTAACACCTCCTGCTTCTCTTGTGCACTGCCTCTTCGAGATCATGGCTAGAGATGTTCTCAGCAATGATCTTCTTCCCTTGAATGCAACCTGTGAGGTTGGCTCTTTGTGCCTTTTTTCCACACTTGAGCCCTCTTTCTTTCCTCAATGCATAACTCCAACAAGTGCTTGATAAAGTTATTCACATCTTTCTCAATGAGGAATTTAACAATGCCAATAACATAGGTAACTCTAAGTGGTTTCTTATCTCTGCATCTTTAAATCGTATGCCTTTTCTCTATTTATGCGACTGAAACCCACTAAGCATACGTCCTTTCAAGTGAGAGTCACATACAAGTTCAATGTGTAAAAGATTCTGAAATTCTTTATGTTCCTCGTAGGGTTTCAACCCTAGTTAGTATTGGTTAGCTGGGCAAAACAAGGTTTTTGTATTACTTTTAATGCAGATGGGTGTCTGTACAAGATCTAAGAACGAGGAGGAGGATCAGGATAGGAAATGAGGATGGCCGAGTCTACCATCTGGATCATTTTTGGTTGCTTCAATCTATTGATTGTAGTTTTGATAGGAAGTTTGAGTAATCATCTACGTTTTTGTTGATTGTTTGCAAAATACTTGGGGGCCGTAAGGTGCATTTGGTCAAGCTAATCTCCTTCAATTTGCATTCTATGTTCCAGACCAAACTTCTACCTAATAAAGTATATTATCTTGTTTTTCCAATTCAAGATGCATAACTTTTAAATTAACAATGAAAAGTATACCAATGTTAGGCTTGTAGTCTAGTGGCTCGATCATAGTTCAAGAGCCTTCTATTTCTACTACTATTCTAGACCTTGATCGGCTATGTAGTCGAATAAGATGGTTGATGGTTTAAGTGTGAGTAAAACTAAGAAAAAAAAACTAAAAGTGAGGGAGATCACTAGATAAGAGATAGTGTCGGTTAGAATTCTAACGACCTTCAGTGCTTTCTAGGGGTACATATTATAAGGGATTGGATTAATTTGTCATTCACTCCACGGAAATACGTAGGATAAACTATAACTCAATGTTCAATCAATTAGAGCTCCCACCACATAGGTAGATGGATTCGAGTTCAAATTTTTGAACCCCAATTACCTAGGTTACACATTAAGTCAGGATTCAACTAATGGAATGATCTCACGCTTCATGAGATAACCCTAGTATGATGGATGGGGAAATTCCTCTTCTGCTCTCTCACTCATTTTATTATCGATGTGAGGGTTTTGTTCCAAACTCCTCTCTTCAATCCTCTTAGAGATGCTTAAATAGGCATGGAAGAAATTTGTTCCCAGGTGCACTCACACTTGTGAGGCCACCCGTGAACTAAACCCTAGCACGATAGTTAAATTGATCCGTCGTTGTTTGGGGCAGCCTTCAAGCTTCCTTCACGTCCCGTGGGGTGTTCACGACTAGGGTCACGACTGTGGGTGTAACATCATGTTCCTTTTAATGAAAAATATAAAACTATTGCTTCGGAGCAGAGTAAAATTTTTAATAACCAAAATAAGGAAACAAAAGAAATTGAAAAATTCCTTATAATTTAAATGTAAAGCCCTAAACAAAAGGGAAAATCCCATCCATAATTCTTAAAACATAAACTCTGAATCTCCAGTTTATACTCATAATCATGGAGTGACATAACTAAGAGAGTCCAGCTGCGATTGCTTACTGTGATCCCTCCTGAGACATTTTCAGTGATGGTGCTGCTGATCGTCTCGAGCTAACTCCTCTCGAGCTACTCGCTCTCTAAACCTTCCTCTACCCGGTGAATGAGAAGGGTTCAGTCTACGCTGCTACAAAGAACTCAAACATAAAAAAAACTCATACATTTGCCTTTAATATATGCAATGGCCCACGTTTCAAATGGCCGTCCGGTACCATGCATGATCAACTACTGCGTATCGTATCGTCGTCCAATAGTGATCCAATCACTCGAGGGTTTCCTTTCTTACTAACACTCACTCATCACATACACCTCACGTACACATCAACTTCACCTTTATTAGGCGGCGAAGTACCTAAAAAATACACATCACATCACATCATATACACATCAAATCCCCTCACCTTTATTAGTCGGTGAGGTACATCAAAAATCCTGTCCTCTCCTTCAGTAGGAAGTGGGTTACCTCAATATACATCCATAGGCCTCATACATTCTCAATTCTCCTAGTTCAAATGTCGAGAAAAAAGGAATCCTCAAACATGCATCTCGAGTATATGTAACTCGTATCGTAACTGAAAGCTTGAATTCATAAAGGTTAACCTTAAAAACCTCAACGTAGAATTAACCCCTTTACACTTACCTTATTATTTCACGTCCCGATATCCATTCTTTCACCTGCTACCATGTTATTTCCTTGCTCATCTTCTGAAAACCAAGACGATTGTTACTCGGTTCACACCTCTACAAACAATGTTAGAACGAGGGTATTTGAGATTTTTGGGAATCTACGTTAGATCTACTCCAATGGAGATTCCTGTGGAGCGCTCCGCGACTACGCTACAAATACGACTATGGAGATTCTTTCTCGAAGGAGAGCTCCACGAAGGAGTTACAGAAAAAAAGGAAGTTTTGACAGAGTTGTTCTGTGTTGATTTTTGGGTTTTCCCCCTCTCTCTTTGCTTCAGTGATTTTATCTGAAATCATCTACGTAGCCTTCATGAAAACTCCTTCGTGGAATTGCTTTCTCAACTTCTCTGTTCTCCAGGTAACTTCCCACGTATCTCCATCTCGCTTGTGTCTGACGTCGCACTTCAACCGCCTTGTATCCTTTACGATGGTTGGCGTGAATCTCACGTGAAAGAAAATACTCTCGCTGCAACGTTGTATCTTCAACTACATTGTATGTCCAATCTCCACTTCTATCCATGTGTGCACACCGAATTACCCGAACCTAGGATTAGTATCACGGCTCGAACCACGACGTTGTTGTTTCGTGGATGCAATATCGTCATGGATTTGAGCCAGAAAATTAATATTAACAAAAACACATCATTAATTGGAACCACACCGTTGCGATACCCGCGGCGTAGTTGTTAATTAAATAACGACGCAGTTTTGACTCCATGAAGTTGTCGGACTCGCCACATTGCCTAGCTCCCGAAATCACGAACCTCTCAGCATCGCTGACATCGACGATGATGTTACCCATCGTGATATCATTGAGCTCACAGTGTCGTAGAATTTGCAACCTGACAGAGTGGCTAATAAAGTCGTCGTGACATTATAAAACTCGCGCCACATACTTGATCTCATGGCGTTGTTGAGCTTCTCAACCGCGTTCAACTCGCGGCATCGTTGACCTCACGACGCTGCTAATCCCATGACCTCATCAAACTCACAACATTGTTTGACTCGCTTCAGATATGACTGTGTTAATTATCGTGGCATTGTTAAACTTGTTCACAAAAGTCGTTGGATCCGCGGCGCCACTGTCCTCGTTGAACTCCCCGGCATAGTCATGATCACGATAACAATGTCGTTGAATTTGTGGCACCGTTGCCGTTGCGATGTTGTTGAGCTCAGGACATCATTTAACTCTGCGGTGTTCTTGAACTTGCAACGCCATTGAAATTGTTTATCTCGGGGCATCGTTTATATTTTGCATTAAAAAATCAATTGATACCACATTGATTATTTTCAAGAAGTGGTAGTGGTTTATAAGGCCAACTTAACCATATTAATTAAATTGTATTAAGATGGGCCTAAATGATGAAATTTTCGGTTTCATACAAAGAAACTCAACACACACCCCGCGACCCACCAAGCACCCACCTATCAAGCATGACATCACCCATGGGGGTTCAAGCATGATTTCATGCAAAGGGGGTCAAGCGCCTAGCGCCGACACCTTTCAACATCAACCACCCAAGTCAACATGGTGGAGGCAAAATTTTGCATCGTCCAAGGGGGGTCAAGCACCAAGTACCATGACCGCTTACCTACCTTGCACTAGGATATCAAGCATGATCTCGTGCAAGGGGGCCATCGCAGTACCCCTAGGCGTGATGGGGAAAGAAGGTAAAATTTGGCTAAGTGGTGAGACTAAGGTTCAAAAAGGAGCTAGGCGTAAGACGGGCGCTCGACCCATGACTTGCGCCTTGCCCGATTAAGCTTAGTCTAGGCCCGCCTAGGCGTTCAGAGCAGAAATGGAAAAAATTCACAAATGTTTCCTGTAATCTAGAATACTTCATATGATAACAAGTACATATAAAAAAGAAACACCTAGTTCTTAACATTGAACACTTAACATAGCAAATAACAAGCAAGTAGTGAACATTTCCTAGAATCACAAGTTCATAAAATGTTGAACTCCTAAACAATAGTCGATAAGCACATAGGAAAAGGTTCATTCTTCATAATCCAAGTAGGTTTGTCCAGTTGCCACTTCATCTTCATCATCCTCAAAAGCAATCCCCTCTTAATGTTTTTGGGATCCACCAATCTTTTGTATTTCCAACCTATGTCACCAGACTTTCTCTTAAAAGCATTGGCATTCTCTTAATTTGTCACTCCTGTCACCGAACCACTAACATCATCCATTATAGACTAGAGATAGTATGTTTTTAAGAAAATCAATAAGTAAATGAAAGGGCTAATACCTTATTTTGGTCCGAACTTAACCCACACTTTCTACGTTGGCCCGTTCTTTCTGAAATTGCTCCCCTGACTTGAATTATGCATCATACTTCCTTACTTGACCCGGTGCGCGTTTTGACTGTCAAATTGGACGGTCAACTCCATTTACTGTCAGTCCCACTAACCACAAACAAACAAAAAATTACAATCATTGAAACACCACAATCTAGTATTGTGTCGTGCTTGTTGAGAGGAAAAGGCAATGCATCATTAAATTAAGGGGAAAAGGTGGAGGGTTGGTTTTGGATTTAGGCAATCCATCCATCAGCCTGTTGGTAATTGTGGCCGTGGGTAGTTAGTTAGAAGAGGTGAAAAAGAGCACTAGAAGAGAGGCTAGCTACCTTTCGTTCAGACTTCTAACCTAGTAACCTAGCGAGCGGTTCACGACTCCATGGGAGATGGAATAGTTACGATAGCGTTTGGCTTTATTTAGTTACCGGCTAGATTAAAATTCCTAGCGCCTAGGCTGCCGTATAATAAAATTATGCTTGCTTAATCGCTCTTAACCCACGATTAATAGCGCCCAACGCATTTTGTTACGTCAATGGCAAAGGCGAGGCGCTCCCCCAACGCCTAGCTCTAGGCGTATGTCTAAGCGCGCTTTCTTGAACACTGGTTGAGACTCAACCATAAGGGGGTCATGCATGACATCGTCCAAGGGGTTGGGGGGGGGGGGGGGTCAAGCACCAAGTACTATGCGGCCTACCTACCTTGTGCTAGGGTGTCAAGGATGACGCCGTGCAATGATGGCCATCACTAGTACACCCTAAGAAGGAAAGATGGTCGAGTCTGCACCACTCACCTGTCCCGTAGTCAAGCACCTAGATACCTACATACCAAGCACTAGGTGTCAAGCATGACCTCGTGTAAGAGGAGTAGAGACAGTGGGGATGGAATTTGGTTAAGTATCAAAACTTTGTCACTCAACCCCCAAGCAAGTCACAACCCACATATCAAATACTGGAGTGTCAAACATAACATCATGCCAAGGGGGTAGGAACGAAGCACCCTCATACCAAGTAGTCAGCAATGCTAGACCTCGTAGTCGTGCATGGTACCCTGTAGACAAGGTCATTAAGTTTCTAAGTGTCAGCCATGTATATCATCACATGGTAGACCACCTTGTCAAGACCCTACAAGCATGATGCCACCCCAAGGGGGTCAGTGAGCATCCATTAACCCCCAAGCACCATAGCGTCAAGTATGACGTCATGCCGGGGTGGTCAGCATGAGTACCACCAAGCATGAAGCCCTTCATGGCACAAGGGTCTAGCTATCAAGGGAAATCATCAAGGTGCAAAGTATCAAGTGGCAAGCACGCAAGGCATTTAAGGTGTGTGGAGCACTATTTACTAAGAGGCAGTTACACGACGGTTACAAGAGATGGCTATAAATAGGTGAAAGGAAAACAAAACAAGGGTTGCACAACCAAACATTTGACACACAATGTCAAACTTTTATATTTTCTATGCAAATTAGCCATACTCTTTAGTTTTCGGAGTTCTCACCGAACCTCTATAGGAGTATGGGTAATTTAACGTAGCTTGTTCCCAAAAAACCATAAAAACATCAAACACCCTCGTTCGAACATTGTTCGAAGAGTAGTGAACCGTGTTATTAATCATTGTTCAAGAATTCAAGGTTCATTAATTGAGCTCAAACACAAGATTTTCCTCGTCGGAAAAAAAATTGGCACACTCGGTGGGACGACTGTGTTTGATTTGATGGCTCCTAGGCGAAAGATTAAGGAAAGCGATGCTTCGCCAGGATTTGTGGAGGAGCTAGTGGCCAAAATTGAAGATGGACAGTTAGCAGAAGCGGTTTTCTGTGATAATGTCGACGGAGAAGCTTTGCCGTCGCCGGCACCATGCACGACCGTTGATGTAGTTGCTGCCATTGGGTCAATTCACCAATTCATGGAGGAAGCCTTGGCTAGAAACACTCTTCAAGTAAATTCTCAAGTTGATTGTCTTAACTCCTATGTAGATAGGCGTTTAAGTCAAATTTTTTATATTGTAACAAAAAATAGGAGTGATTTTGACGAGTTCAACTACTAACATTGTAAATTTTTCTCCTGTCGATGGCCGGAACGACCAACCACGACAAGATAACTTCCTACCATAGGTGACAACTCTACCACCCTCTCATCGTGTGAATCGCGACGAGATTCCCGCCACTACTAAAGTGGAGCCAGTCCTTAACATGGGAGTTAGAGAATGCCCACACGTTGCAAAAATTCCGCCAATACGTTCAACACTCATGTTGAAAACCCGCCATCCATCCCAGTGACAAGAACCTATGTAGCTCCTGCTAACATGGTTGGGGGAGGGAGGTTAGGAGTTGGGGATCAAGTTCCTCCACGTGCTTACCCAACACCCATACCAACCCAAGTCCATGGGCATGGTTTGGACCTCATGGGGCTCGTACCTCCAGGAGGGGGGGGGGGCAAGATGCTAGTGCCTAAGAGATCAGGTGGCTCAATTCCTAACCGAGCAATTTGGATTAAGAGTAAACCCCACCATGCCACCTATGTATCGTATGCCTTACCCTGAATGAGTAGATAGGCTTTAACCATTCACAAGAGGGTTTAGGGTGCCCGATTTTTCCACCTTCACGGGTACTGGTGACAATCCACTGTTGAACATGTGGGACGGTTTACTGTCCAATGTGGAGATGTGGGAGACTTTGTCAAGTGAAGGCAGTTTGGCAACTCGTCGACAAGACAAGAGTTCGCATGGAATGTTAACTTGCGGTCTAACTCTGTCCAAACTTGGCAAAAGATGGAACTAATCTTCGATGCTCAATTCTATAGGTCTGAGACTGAGGTCTCAATGGCTGACTTTGCATGTATGCGCCAACAGCCAGGGGAGTCAGTTGAGCATTTCTTGACCAACTTTAAGAATGCATAACCGTTGCTTTGTCAACTTGATAGAAATGGATTTTGTCAAGCTTGCACAAGGGGGCTTGAGTTTTGAGTTAAGGAAGAAGTTCCAAGACAAAGTGTTCTCGGACTTGTTCCAACTAATGTCTTGTGCAATGAGGTATGTGTCCTTTCTCCAAGAAGAGGAGAAGAGGAGGAGCGCATCAAGGGGACAATACTTCCCCACAATCAACTACCCTGTCAACCATGTTGGCCAAGAGCCCAATGAGGTGGAGGTAGACCTTGTTGAGTTAGCTCCAGGGAAGCCATATGTTTGTGCTTCTTTAGGTATGGCTGAAAATGAGCCACAGTGGGGCAGACCCAATAGGGTTCCTATCTAGCCATGCAACTACTCCTTTGACGTCTCAAAGGCTTACTTGATTTTTGACCAACTCTATAAGGATGTTCAGATGAAGTTGACCCCGGGGGGGGGGGGGGGGGGGATAGTATACCACCACCCGAGAAATTAAAAGGGAAGAAGTATTGTAAGTGGCATAACAGCATGTCACATGTCACTGACTCATGTGTGGTTTTCCATAATATCTTGCATAATGCTATTTAGAAGGGGTGTATCAAGTTCTCAGAGTCAAATAAGGATGCCATGTTGGTAGATACTGACTCATTCCGCAAAATGGTAGGCATCAACATGGTTAACCCAAACCTTTCCAAATTTAAGATGTCCCGCTTTAAACTGGTGTTGGATACAACACCGCCTCAATATGGGAGCCTCAATGTAACTTATGAACAAGGGGGCTCGTCCAGTGGCATGCAAGCTAATACAGCCGCATCGACTGCCATATCTCTAGAAGTTGAGAAATTGTGAGCTCAATGCAAAAAGAGCCTCAAACTTGACGAGGCGATGACTTCCACCCACCAAACACTTGGCCCACCCAACAGGCCGAGATACCCTTATTATCATAGACAACTGGAGGGGGGTCATCCAGCCGACTTGGGGGGGATGAAGGAAGTGGATAGCACATGGTATTCCTTCCATGAGAAGCCCTTCTGTAAGAAGAACGTTCAAGATGCCCAATGTGTCACATGGAGGGTGACATACGTATGATACTCGTCGTCAGCAACCCATAGCCATTGACAGAATGACAATAGCTCAAAGAAGAAGGTTCCTTCGCAAGAATGCTCAAGCACGACAGGGTTAGTACCCAACACCCACTCCTGAAGGGGGGGGGGGCATCACAACTAGTTGATAATCTTCAACCTAGCATAGAAGTGGACAACACAATGGCTACCGGGCTCAAGGTGACAGTAACAAATAAGGGAAAGGATGCCCAAGTTCACAATGATACTAAGGGGAAAGGGTTGCAAGATATTTTTCAAGAAGATGATGGGTATGAAGCTGACATGGGTTACTACATTGGACAAGACATGCTCTTAGGTAAGCATCCCAATCCCAAGTTCGATAGAGGCAACAAGGATGATGAAGGGGATGACTAAGACCCCCTTTAACAATCCAGTTTGGAATTTTTCCACCAGTGGTTGTTACAAACTACATTCTTCCTATGGTCTTCCAATTCATTGAAGGAGACCGAGATAGGTATGTGGAGGATGAAGATGAAGTAGAAGAGACCGAAGATGCAGATGGATCTGTTGCTGAGTTAGCTGAAGTCTTTGCTTGTTTGGAAGCAAGTGACGAGCCATGGGGTGTTAGGATGGCTCGATTGGGAAGTAGAATTGATCTAGCCACTGAGGTGGCTAGACAAGATAGGAGTTCCGAACAAATCTTAAAGGAACTCCATGAGACTAGACACAAGAGTGTGGGCTTGTTAGGTGAAGATGACGGTCGATACCCTTTCTATTTGTTGTTCCAGTGTTCTGAGGCTTCATCATCTCTACCCATCGAGAATCTCACTTGGGGATCCGGTTTTGATGCTGAGATAGATAGCTGACACGCTGAGACACAACTCTTATTAATGGCCAAGTATAACCAATGAAAGGGACTGTAGTATAGTGGCACAAGCAATAAATATCGAATCCACGGGTCTCTAGAGTTACTATTACTCAGCTTCAGGTCATTATCTAGCAAACTAGATTATTATTGATTAACTAAACTAAGTAAAACTACTAATTACAGGTTGGAGACTCACTTAGGCATGATTCTCCCTAACTCCTCAATTAGGTCCAAGTTGTAATTCCCTTTGGTTGCTTTACTGTTAATTAAATTGCAGAAGATCCGATAATAGCTTGAAATCTCTTAAGCTGACCAAGCCCTCTTAGACAGAATACTCGGCAGGAGACTAACCTCCAACGGAGTACAATGCTAAGGCAATACACAAAGATCTCTATTACTAAAATGAATTCCATTACAAAGCAGTGAATTGACTGACTCTCGTACAATCCATTCCCTACTACCAATTGAGAAACTCTCTTAACCCAATCAGATTCTATATATCATAGGTTAAAGCAGAAATCAAAGGAAAGTGATCAGGGTTCAACTGACTAAACAATCATTCCTCAATTGATTAAAACAATCCAGTATAACATCCAAAGTTTCAAACAAGAAAGATCCTAACACATGGAACTAGGGTTCCTCAAAACCTAAGTGAAGGGAAGTTACTCCATAGAGAAGAGAGAGATTACAGTATAACTTTCTAGATCTTCAAGCTTCACGTCTAGACTTGTTCCTTGAGCCTCAATGGTGAAGAATCCTCCAAAATAGCTCCAAGAATGTCTCTTGATTGCTCTCTCTCTCTCTCTCTCTTTGGTTTGTCCCTTGGGTGTTTGGGATCCAAAACCCAGCTCTCCCTCTCCAAAAATCGCAAAACAGCTTTTATACCTGCTGAGATTCACACCCTCTACTTGCAAGGCCGTGCAAATTGAGGTTTTGGATGTGCAAACCCCCTGGAAACCATGCACGGCTGTGCACAATATTACACGGCCGTGCACAATTTTTAGCACGCACTCCTAAGCCTCGTTGAGCTCGTTTGACCTCCGATTCAGGTGCCTTTTGATCCCAGATGCTCGTAGACTCGTACTCTTTCTTTTCATGTCAAGCTTATATGATTCTTTGTCAATAAAATGAGATATAAATCCATTCTTCCTCAAGTCATGCCCGAGTTTCTCCTCCCGAGTCGCCAATTGATCTCCGTTTGACTTGAAACTTGTGCCTATGCTTCACTTTATGTGTTAGGACCAGAAATGTGACAAAGGAACACAACCTATAGTAAAATAGGCCAAGGATTGATCAATTTACAAGTTAAACGATCAATAAATGAAGGGGAAAACATGTGCAAATATCGAGTCATCTAATCCCCCCACACTTAACCGTTGGCTTGTCCCCAAGCAAACCCAACTCAAACCAATGCAACTCTCCAGACCTTTATAAAAAAATGCAACCACGATCGTTGGTAGAGGACGTTCTAAGTCATTGAAAAACTTACGAGGTAAACCAACGCAAAAGATACCTCCTAGCTTATTCGTCAAGAACTCTAGTCCCGAGTCGGGATCATGCCTAGTAGTGATTCGTGGACAAAGCGACTCAAAGAAATAAATATCATGGACTCACTTTTTTAGGTGCTCTATTTTTTCCTTTATAGATGGTTGGAACTCCCTTTCTTCAGTTTTTTTTCATTTTCTTGTTTTTTTCTTTTTGCAAGGGTTCCAACATGTTATTCTCAGAAACGAGGCTCCCACCTAGCCAAGGTTTCGGGGGAGCCTGGCACTTATCGGCCATGCCGGGAGAGACTCTTACCGACCATGCCGGGAGCAAATGTCTCAAGCCTCGTGTGGGGGAAAGAGGTGTAAGGGGGATGGAGGTAGTAGGTGGAAGTTGGGAACAGATTCCCGTCTCCCCTTACACACTTTCACCAATTTCCACACGGGAGATGTTATTTTAAAAGCACAATTTAGAGAACCTTTTTCAAAACATGATACAGGAGTCCATGACAGGTGGAGAGTCATCGCTACCATACGATTTAAGTGTCCTAAGATCACTAATTCACACAATCAACCAACACAATATGAATTAGAAACGAGACTTTTTAAATGCATCAACATCCTCCATAGTGCTACACTACCTCCCTAGGTTGCATATTACTATAAAAACTGTCAATTCAAAGCATACTGACACGCTAAAACACAACACCAAACTGTGACCAAGTGTAATCGTAGTCCGGAAATGCAGAATAGTGGCAAGTTGTATTTATCAACCCGGGGTCCAGATCTACTGCCTACTCTGTGATTATCTATTATCTAGCAAACTAAGTCGAGTGATTGTGATTTTAAGCAAAAGCAGTAAGAAAGCAGGAAATGGTTCGAAGTTCTTTAGCAAGGGAAGAGTCACTCGGGAATGAGCCCCCTAGTTCCTTACTTAGGCTAAAGTTGTAATTACCCTTGGTTGATTTACCGTTGATTAACCTGTGGAAGATCCGACAGTAGTTTGGAATCTCTTAAGCTGACCAAGCCCTCTCAGACACAGTAACCGGCAGGCGACTAGCCTTCACCGGGATAGACTGTTGAGGCAACAAACACATAACTCCACTACTGGAATTGGATTCCAGTACAAAGCAGTAAATCGATTAACTCTCGTATAACCAATCTACTACTACCGATCGCTGAAGCTCTAACAACCTAATTAGATTGTATCTGTCTCAGGTTGCAGCGAAAATCAAGAAAAGATGATCAGGCTTCAAATGACTCAATGAATCATGCATCAATCGATTAAAATCAATCAGTATATCAATCCAATGTCATTACAATCAGGTTTCCAAACCCAAGTGAGAGAAGGTTCTACTCCATAGAGAGAGAGAGAGGAAAACATAAATCAGAGCAGTCATACTCAGAATGATGGGGATAATTTGCACTGGGATGTCGATCTTTACTCATGGGGAAGAAATCTAGGCTTCAATGGTGAGAAATCCACTCCAAATAGCTCATAGGGTTTGTTCTTTGCACTTTCTCTCTATAAAGCTCAGTTTTTTGCTCAAAAAGTTGATTCCCTTTCCTTTGGGTCGAATCTTCCTCAAAAACCTGATTTTGGGCGAAATACGGTCGTAATTCTTCCCTGCCCGTATTTTGCCCAAAACACGCGTTTTGTTTAAGTTTCAGCGCATCCAAGGCTCCTCTCGACACTAAAAATACGGGCATGGCAGGTAAAAATACGGTTGTATTTCTCCTGCCCGTAGTTCTTCCTCCGCTATTGTTTAATGCTTCGTTTCTCCCTCAACCGGACTCCGAATCAGTTGTCGTTTGATCCCAGACACTCGTAGTCTCGTCCTCTTTCTTTCATGACAAGATTCCATGATTATATGTCTATAATATGTGGTAGAAATTCATTCTTCCTCAGGTAATGCTCGAGTTTCTTCTCCCGAATGACCAAACGATCTCTAAAAGACCCAAAACTTGTGCCTATGCATCCCTTTATTCGCTAGGACCTAAAATATGACAAAATAACAAAACCTAGCGTAAAATAGGCCAAGAAACCACAAATTTGAGCCAAAATGGTTAAGAAACAAGGGTGAAAACATGTGCAAATACGACACTATCAAATTCCCCCACACTTAACCGTTTGCTTGTCCCCAAGCAAACCAAGTCAGATAAAAGGTAAGCTCAAAACATTTTAATCATGCAACCCTTGGGGATATATCATATCACAC